CTGAGCCGGGGCCACCTGCAAGGCACACACGTCCCCCAAGCCATGGGCGAGGAGAGGGAGGGGTATGTGGCAGCAGCACCATGGACTCGCAGGAGTCCTCAGAGCTTGGTGACATGAGGCTCAGTGTCCCCAGGCGCAGCACCAGATGGATGGACAGAGCTGCTCCTGGGGTGGACTGGTGGTTGCAAAGTGCTTGGGGGTGGCAGGGGCTGCTGGCAATTGGCATGTGGGTGCCACACCCTGGTGGCACCCAGGGCATCACCACCCTCCCATCAGCACCTGGATGTCCCTGTCCCAAGAACACCCAAGGTGTTATCATGACCCCGTCAGCACCCAGGACATCCCTGCCTGATGGCACCCAGGGCATCATCAACTCGTCCAGGACCCAGGACACCACTCTCCCAGCAGCCTCTGGCCATCACCACCCCAGTGGCTCTCAGGACATCATCACTGCCTGATGGCACCCAGGACATCAGCCCCCAGGGGTTTGTTATCACATCACCCCCCAGGTGTTCACTGTTACAGACTCTGCCATCCCATGCCTGGACAGAAGTGCCCTCCTGGTCCCAGCATACCCCACTGTGGCCTCAAGGAGCCAAGCTGGAGCCATGGCCACCCCACAGTGCCTGGCAACAGCCCCAGCCTCAGCCTCCAGCCCCAGCTTCCCACCCTGGAGGTGCAGGGAAAAGGTCTGGGCTGACCCCACCAGTGACAAGACCCGGACACAGACTTACCCACCACGAAGATGATTTTGTGCTGCTTGAGCTTTTCTAGAGGAGAGAAGGGAAAAAAATAGTTAAAAAAAGCCGGAAAGTCCTTCGGTGAGCAAAGTGTCCCCAGGGGGTGCCACATCCAGAGCAGGCGTCCCTGGGGATGGAGGAGATTGATCCCAGGGCCCTGGGGGGGAGGTGGACAGGGAAGCAGCCGAGTGTCCTCATCACCTGGGCAGGTTGGGATGTCTGGACATGTCTGAGCACACAGCCCACGGCACCTCAGCCACAGGGCTGGAATCCCACTGCCACGTGGTGTCCTGGAGGCGTCACTGTCCACGGCTCCATCCCTGCAGGTGGCTTCTCACCCTGGTGGGCTAACGGGGCTGTGGCAGGCTCAGCCTGGCTCGGCCATCTCGAGCACCTGGCATGACCTGGTCCCCAGCATCGGTTCCTGGACCTGGTGGCCGACGTGCGGGTGGCACTCACCACCCTGTCCCCTGCCCAGCGCCCTGGCACAGGGTTCCTCCCACCTGTGGAATCTGTCCCAGCTGGGGTGTGGGGCAGTGCCGGGGTGTGACACCATGGCAGGGGGAGGCACAGCTAAAAATAAAGTCGAGCTGCTCTGGGGCTGCTTTCCCATCTCCTGATTACAGCTGGGTGAAATTTCAACTCCTCTGGCACCCGGCATTCCCAGGGCTGGGGACAGAGCCAAGTGGCTGGCGGGGACCAATGGGACGTGGGGCACGTGGAGGGGCTGGAGGAACATGGGGGATGGACAGAAGGGAGGGAGGCAAGGACACAGAGCAGGGATGGAGGGGATGGATGCAAAGGGGATCAGGGACTGCCTGTAAGCGGGGCAGATGCAGGGGGGAGGGACAATGGGGATGAGGCATGGGGGAAAGGGGAATGCAGAGCGGACGGATGCAGGGGGAACCAAGGGGATGGATGCAGGGGTAATGGATGCAGGCGGGATCAAGGGAATGGATACAAAGGGCACAGGGGAATGCAGAGAGGATGGATGCAGGGGGGATTGAGGGGGTAGATGCAGGAGATACTGAGAGGATGGATACGGGGGGATGGATGCAGGGGATACTGAGGAGATGGATACAGGGGGGATGGATGCAGGGCATACTGGGGGGTTGGATGCAGGGGGGATGGATGCAGGGAAATGGATCACTTACCTGTTGACATTCTGCCGTGTTCCAGGCACAGAAGCACTTAAGGCTGCAAAGGAAGAGCAGGATAAACAACTCAAGTACATCAGGGACACACAGGTCACCAAGTGTTTGTGGAGTAAAAGGGTCTCCCTTTTTGGCCATGATGGTGCTCAGCTCCATGGCCCAGCTGGGCAGGGTGGGACAGAAGACACAACCCCCGGCTTGACCCTGAAATAGGGAGCTCAGGATTTCTGCTTCCATAGCCATCACTTACCTGGCTTCCAGCAGTCACCCTCCGCATCCGGCTGCGGTGAGGGCTTCCCCGTGCCGGGTGACGCGCCGTGACGTGTCCGGCTTCCTCCCCTGCCCTGCCCACATCCCTGTGCCCAGGGTGCTGCCCGGCAGCAGGAAACCCCTTTGGGATGCCCAGTGTCACCAGGACACCGAGCGATGGAGGCAGGACCCCCAGCTCCCCACGGGCTGGTTTTAGGGACGTGCCCATGGCCTAAGGAGGGGGTTGCAGCACCCCATTGCACCCCCAGGACCTCGGGGGGGTTTGGCCACCCCACCTGCCCACACCCAACCCCGCAGCACCCGACGTGCTTGGCCACGGTGCGTCACCCCAAACCGGCTGGACGGGGTGCAGGGATGGGGCACCCAGTGGCCAGAGAGGCCCGCGGCCGGTGACAGGTCGTGTTACAACCTCGAAAGGGCAGAGGTTAAGAATGGCCGGGCTGAAAGCGGCACCGGGTCACGTCCCCCCTGCGCTGCGGGGACGAAGCCCCGGGGCAGCCCCTGAGGAGTTTGGGGGCCGCAGGACCCCTGGATCCCTAATTGCAGAGGGCTCTGAGCCCCAGGACCGCTGGCACCAGCCTTGGCAGGGCGATGGGGGGCTGTGGTGATCGTGATGGGGGGTTGCGGGCAGCACTGGCCCTTAGTGCGGTCTCAGGGCCTGATCCGGCGCGGTGCTGGTCCCACGGGAGCAGGTTGAAGGTGATGTGGAGGTGAATGCTCCGGAGGAGATCGGAGGGCACTGAACCCCTCGGGTCGGGGCTGGGGAGGGGGTTGGGCAAGGGGGTGCAGCGTGGCCTGGGACTCCCCAACCAAGGCTATTTGCGGGCTGCACTCCAGGGTGCTCCCACCGATCTCCCCCCACCGCCAGCTCCAACCCACCTTCCCCCATCCCATCGGCATCCAGCCCCCCCCGGGGACCCCAGACCCAGGACCGGGCTGCTCCAGCACCGCTGCAGCCCCTCCAGCACCCCTTGCGCGCCCCCAGCAAAGGCCCCCTGCCCCGCTCCTCTCCCCCCCCGTGCCTGGCCTGTGTCGTGGTGCCCGTCCGGGACCCCCGGGGGTCTGGCACTGACCTGGACCCGCCGCCGCCCGCGCCGTGCCCGCGGTACCGCTATTTATAGACCTCGGCGGCGCGCGGGGCACGCCGGGAGCGCGCGGCACCGGCAGCGCGAGCGGGCGGGCGGGGGGACACGGGGGGGACACGGCGGGGACACACCGGGGGGGACAACGGGGATGGCGAGGGCACACGGGGGACACGGCGGTCCCTGCACTCGCCCGCGCACGGAGGAGGATGGGCGGGGGGATGCGGTTAAACCCTGCACGGCCGGGAGTGAGGGTCCCCCCACTGCGGGGGGAGCCCCCACCCTGCTAGGTCTGGGGTCCCCGGGGCTCCCCGCGCCTCCTCCTCCAGCCCTTCGGAGGGGAGCGCTGTTCTCACTCCTGTTCTGATGTCCCCTCCCCACACCGTCCTCATATCCCCATCCCCATCTACGTCCCTGATGTCCCCACTCCTGTCCCTGATGTCCCCACTCCTGTCCCTAATGTCCCCATTCCTGTCCCCATGCCTAATGTCCCCATCCTCATGTCCCCATCCTTGTCCATAATGTCCTCGTGTCCCCATCCCATCCCCATGTCCTCATCCCACCCCCATGTCCCCATCCAAGTCCCTAATGTCCTGATATCCCCATCCCATCCCCATGTCCCCATCCCCAGCTGACACCCCCCTACCACCCCCGGGGGGGTTGTGGTGTCCTTGTTAAGAGCTGATTATAGAGATGCTTCTGCCTGAATTAAGGTGCAAACAAGACCATAGGCTGAAGTCAATAGTACAGATTTTATTTGGCAATAAAATGCGAGGTAGAGAGATAGAAATAAAAAAAAAAAAAGGGTGGTAGAGGGAGAGAGACACACAGAGAGAAAGAGAGAGAGAGATCAAGCAGAATATAGTCACCACTTGGATCCATCAGTGTCCCGCTGGTCCTTCTTCACCCTGGGCTTCTTGATGGTGGGGGTCCTGAGGTCGGTGGGTTTCTGAGACGGAGGGTTGTGGTCAGTGGTCGTGATCTCCCCCAGACAGTTACCTTTTACCCAGTCGGAGCTGTTTTCAGCAAAGTTACTGAGTTGGTTTTCCTTGTGGATTCTTTGTATCCATCATCAGTGATACATTCTTCCAGCTTTGTTTACCACCCCGTAGTCTGAGACACTCGTATCACCTTTATCTTATCTCAGGTTCCCCTCACGGTGGCGTAATTTACAGCCCAAGTTCAAGGCATATTCAGGGCGGTGGGGGGGCTTTGGGGGTCGCAGATGCCATCTGTGCCATAACCTGGGGTGGTCTTTGTTTGACAGGTGATAGGCATACGAACAGTTGCCCCACCCCACAGGTTGCCACGGTGGGAACCCTTGTCTGGATACATTACCCAGAATGTTCCAGCCAGACCTTGCCAGCGCCATCCTGTCTCTGCATCCTGTGCCCATCTCACGGCAAAGTGGCAACAGTGTTTGAGACAGGCATCTGTGATCTCTAAGTCCTTACACTTACCCGCCCTTCCTCCTCTTCTTCTGTGGCTGCAGAGACCCTGGCTCAAGACCCCACGACCCCAGGGCAGGTGGCTGGGGGTGAATCAAGTTGGGGGGGTCTCAGCTGCCACCCACACCGGGGGGGTGGCTCAGAGCTGGAGTCAGCCAGTAACTGGACACAGATCCCACCTGGACACACCAGTCCCTTTCCCACACCCTCTGAGCACCGAGGGACAGCTCCACTGTGAGCAGGGAGTCTCAAGACCCGCTGTGATGGCACCACCATCAGCCCCAAAAACCCACCCGGAGCCAGGGCCCAAGGCAACAGACTGCAGCAATATTTATTCCTGTACAAACCATTACAAAACACAGGCACCCCGCAGCTTCCCCCTGCACCGAGCCCCGCAAAACCCCAGCCACAGTCAGAGGGAAACGAGGCACAGAGCCCTGCCAAGGCTCAGCACCCAAACACACCATATTTAGCTGTTTTCCCCAAATCCACCTCTCCACTGCTAAGATATTAATAACAAAATCCAGCCCCAGGGTGCCAAGGAGCACCAATGCCCCCCACTACCTGCCCACTTCTAATTGTTTATAAGCGGCTACTGCTGGCCCTTCGTTACCACTAATGAGCAGCCCCCGCTTGTTCCTTTGGCCAGGAAACCCAAATACAAACTCTGGGACCAGAAGTGGATAGAAAAAAATGCCAAAAACCTCAAAAAGCTCCCAAAAATCCCATCATTCAGTTAGAAAAGGTTTTGGCAGTGTGGGGCGCAGTGGTGCTGGGAGGGGCTGGGTGTTTTTGGGATCCTGGGGCAGCAAGGGTGGCAGTGCCACCCTCACGGGGTCCCACCAAAAACTGTGGGGTTCTGCTGAGGGAGGGGTGACTGAGGGCTGGGACTGGGGGGCATGGCATGGCAGAGGGAGGCTGAGCTCCAAGAGGGGGTCCTTCTACCCAGGGAGTTAGGGGAAACAGTCTTTGCAGTGGCCCCAAAAGGGATACAACCCCAAACTGAGCAGAGGTGACCCGGCACCCTCTTGTAGGCTCGCAGGGGCTGCAATGTGCCCGGACCAGAGTGGGACAGTGTCTCCTGTCCATGGAGGGGGGACACCACAAACCCTGCATTCACTACCTGGCCCCCCCACAAACCAGCTCAAAACCCAACACATCCCAGGTGCAACGGGGCCACTGTGCACGACGGGGGCGGTCCTGTGGGAGGCACCCGGTGGCACCCCGACGCCTGGCTCCCACCGCTCCCAGGGGGATGCAGGGAAACCCCCATCCATCCCAGCTCAAGGGGTCTGCCCGGCAGGTGGGGGGACAGCCCCTAGGGCCAGTTGGGGTGGGAGAAGGTGATGTTGTAGAGGCCGGCCCAGCTGGCGAAGACCCTCTTCTCGGTGATGAAGCGGTGGTGGTTGCCCTTGCGGCTCCGCTCGTTGTGGATGTAGGTCGTGCACTCGTCGGGGCCTTTGGGCTCGTAGTAGTGGTAGGGCAGGCGGCGGGGCGGGGGGTGGTGGCTGTGGTGGGCAAGAAGCATTGTGTGAGCCCCATGGTGGGGCCAGAGGGCCAGGGTGGGGGCTCAGGGGTCTCCTTACCCGCAGTAGCTGGGTGGCACCATGCCGTAGACGTGGACGGCGTCGCACAGCTCCACCGCGATCACCATGGTGAACCAGCCAGTGCTGAGCCACGAGCGCGACTTCTCCCTGGAGAGGGAACAGTGGGGTTGGGAAGGATGACAAGGTGGTGTGGATAACGGACACCACCAGTGTCCCCAACCTGCCCTGGGGACTCCCAGCTCAGTGCTGCAGCCCACGAAGCAGCTCCAAGAGCCAGCTCTCCTTTGAGGACCTGGAGAAAGGGGGACATGGCATGGGAGGTGACTCCAAGGTACCTGTCCTTTCCTGTCTCCCCCCGAAACAGGTCATCAAACTGCTTCATGCGGCCGGGGGACACAACATAGGCCGTCATGTTGGGGAAGGAGGCACAGACACGCTGGATGATCTTCAGGAGGCTCTTCTGCATCTTGATAGGCGGCCCCCAGAAGATGAAGATGTTCTCCGGTGTCTTGTTGACAAACTCCTGGGGCCGCTTGAGGACACGGTAGAGGCTGGAGTGGGCCACCACGCGGAAGCTGGTCTTGTTGCCCACGTCAGCCTCATAGCCCGTGGTGGGAGCGTCGTTCATGCGGATGGTGCACTCGGCCCCGTCGATGGCTGTGCCCAGGTGGGTGCCCAGGAGGTGGCTGGAGCTGGTGACAATGACGCACTGGTGGCAGTGGGCAGTCAGGGTCTGGTGAGGACAAGTGCCGTGAGCAGGTGACTTTTGGTGTCACCATGGACAGGGCATCACTGTCCCCTGCAGAGCCACTGTCCTGCTGGAGGGGACAATTTGGCTGGATGCCAGCAGAGGGACAGACCCTGTGCCCACCACCGAGGCCAGGCCCTGCCGCCCAGGTCATACCTTGTTCCCACAGACAGGTAGGTACCCGCTTTTCACCCCCCACTTCTTGAGGTTGGGGGGCCGGCGGGCTCTGCCCCGCAGGCGGCTGTAGGGGAAGACCTCGCTCCCGTTGCCGGAGCTGTAGATGATCAGCAACATAATCAGGGCAAAGAGGACACCCAGGGCGGCGGCGCGCTGGCTCTGCGGGCAGGGGGAGAGTGTCAGCTGCTGCCCCCACCCACCCCACGGGTGTCAGCACCCACCCCGCTCCCACGGCACCTCCAGCAGGACACTTTGCGTCCCCAGGGAGGTCCCAGCGGTGGTTCCCTGGCACTCACCGCGTTGCCACTCATGTCTTTGTGCTGGTCTCAGCGCACGGTGGTCGCCGGTGTCCCGTGAGCACCTGAAAGGCACGTGGTCACCCCCAGCACTGGCCCATGGGGATCCGATACCAATCCGGTGGGCATACGGAAGGAGCTGTATGTGGAATGAGTTCCCAGGTCTCCTCCCTCTGAAGGGGAAGATAAACCCCTGCAATCGATTCAGGGAAGTGAAATACTGTGGGCATAGGTCAGGCAGGCTCTGGGGTGTGCAGAGAAGCCACGGTTTCTGCTGGCAGGATCCCTGTCTTGGTCTGGGCTCCAGGGAGGATTATCCTCTGCTGGTGGGGCTGAAACCGTTCAAACCACAGGGAGGGTCAACCTGCTGCTCGTGCAGGGAAATCCCATTAAAACAACAGCCGTGGAGGCTTGGATCAGGAGGGCACAGACAGAAGCAAGACCTGCCCAACTCAGTGCATGCACAGGCTCGAATCCAGCAGAGCTGCCCAGGGCCGAAGTGTGTGGGGTGAACCCCAGAGCACCTCAGGGACCCTCTCTAATCTCCACTCGAAATGGTCTGACCCAGTTTACTTTTGTGAGCCCTGGGCAGTAAGTCCCAGCCGCTCCTGGAGCCAAGTGGAAATTAAAAAACCCTGAAGCCTCTTTACTAATTGCACTGGAACGAAAATTATGCAACAGCCTGGGATCAACGCCTCGGGGGAGCTGAGACCTCGAAGGGCTCTCAGGGCCCGTACCAGTGCCCGGGAAGATGCCAGCCTGCCCGGTGAGCCCAGGCCATGTGATCCTGGGGGAGATGCTGGGGGGGCTTCGCCGTGCAGGGGCTGGGGAGGCTGTGGGACGCCCACTCCCGGACCGCACTTCTCTCCCTCCATAACTCTGGGGCCATGGGGGACCCCTCGGAGGGGACCGCACGGCGGGACCCGTCGGCCTTACCTGGTGGGGGCTCTCATGGGGGGTCCGTCACCTCCTGCGCCCCGCGGGCGGCGGGGGCTGCCCGGCCCCTCCGGCGGGCTCGGCCATGGCGGGGCCCGGGGCTCACATCGCCGCTCTGCGGGAAAGGGCTGCTCCAGACCCGACCCCCTTCCCCCGCCGGGGGTCCCCCAGCCCCGGATGCGAACCCCGAGGGTCCCTCAGCCCCGGATGCGAATTCCCCCCCGTTCCCCAGGAAGGGGAAAACCCGCCCGGCTCCGGGCGCGAACCTCCCGCGTCCGAGTCCTCCTGCCCCTCCTCGGGGTGCAGCCCTCCCGTCCCCGGCAGCGGCGACACGGCGGGAGCCGGACCCTTCCCACCCCTCCATCCCCCGCGCACCGGTCCCGGGGCGGGGGCCGCTCCCCCGCCGGACACGGCGAATTCCGCCCCTGCACCGGCTGAACGGGCCCGGAAGGGACGCGCGGGGTGCACCGACCGCTCTGCCCGCCCCGCAGTGCGCTGCGATACCGCTGCCGGTACCGATATCGATATCGCCGCCGATAACGATATCGCCGCTGCTGCCTCCCAGGCCGGGTCCTAGCGCCGCCTTCCCGGGATAGGGAGAGCCACGGGGTCCTAGTGCCGCCCTACCGGGATAGGGAGAGCCACGGGGTCCTAGTGCCGCCCTACCGGGATAGGGAGAGCCACGGGGTCCTAGTGCCGCCCTCCCGGGATAGGGAGAGCCACGGGGTCCTAGTGCCGCCCTCCCGGGAGACGGAGAGCCACGGGGTCCTAGTGCCGCCCTCCCGGGATAGGGACTGCCCGGGGATGCCAATGCCGCCCTCGCCGCTCCAGACCCCGACAGGGCAGGGGATGCCCCCTTGCCCTGCCCGCCCCCGGTGCGAGGATGGGGCCAACCCTGCCCGGCAGCGCCAGGAGCAGCTCGCAGCGCCTGACCCAGCACATTGCTGGAATGCCGCGGCCTCCCCCGCGCTGGCTGGGCAGAGCAGGACCCCTCTCTCAAGGGTTTCGTGGGGCAGGGAAGGAGCTCCACCGCTGGCACGTGCATCCCTGGTGCCTGTCCAGGGGGATTCTGGCTCTGCTGTGCCAGTGATGCCCTGCCCTGCATGGGGCTGTGACAAATAAGGTATGAGGAAAAGCTGTAGCAGCTGGGGTATGAGGAAAATAGCTCCACGGGCTCCTCTGCTACACTCCCTGTGAGAAACTGCCCTGGCAGCATTTCCAGAAGTTCCCAGACCATTCACTCCTCACTGCACCCCAACATCTCTGCCTCTCCTCTCTCCCCTGGCCCCCCAGACCTGTTGCACTTATGAGCTCAAAAAGCTGCTATGGGTTCAGGGCCACAAAAGTGCCTGTGGCATGTCCCATCTCTCCAGGGACACAGGAGCTGGCAGTGTCCTGCGTGCAGCCCAGCAGTGCTGAGCCCTGTGAGGCCAAGGATCAGCCCAGACCCAGCACCCATCCTGTGGAGATGCAGCTGCTGATTCCCAAATAACCTCGACTGCTTTCAGCACCCTCTTCCATGCTCAGGCTCAGCTCTACCCCCTCGTCACCTCCCCCTTATTTATAGCCTGGCAGTGGAGCTGGGCAGCAGCAGCCCTGTGATCAGCTGTTGTCTCCCCTGTCCCCACGTTCCGCAGCCACAAAAGGGCACAACACGGGGCACCACTGAATTAAAAACACTTTTAATCGCCACGTTTGCTTTGGTCTGAATCCAAGGGCACTTGTGACAAGGCAATTCGGAGTCCCCAGGGCATATGTGGCTCGAAGGCTTCCCACCTGGAGGGATGCAGGGGGCTCCAGGGACCTGCCCAGGCACTGAGCAGCAGAAGGCAGCAGGATGAGGGAGCCTGAATCCGGCTCCCTGCACTGGGTTTCAGGGCACAAGTGGGACAAGGACCATAGCAGAGGTTCACCCCTGAGAGAGGCATCACTCTGTGGCCCTGGCAGGGTTGAGCTCTCCTGCCCCTTGTCCTGCTGGAGCCCAGCAGGGTGAGCGTGTAATCCTGCACTAAATATTCTTCCTAGAAGAGTGGGTGGAAAACCTTCATGGTCATCCTGGGTCCATAGAGGCAGATGTCCGGAGCTGACGGGGCTCCCCGGGTCCAGCTCACACACCCCATGCCCCGACATGGGGGGTCCCAGCCCACCCACCAGCTGGGGGAACAGGCTCTGCTGCTGCAGAGGTGGAGACTCCCTGCTCCAGGGCTTGGCAAAAGGCATTCAACTGTGGCACTGGCAGAGCCAAGACACGCTGGTGCAGGATGAGAACTGCCCCGCCGCCGGGGTCCCTGCTGCCTCATCTCGTGGCTGGCACCCTACCCGCCCGCCCAGGATGGGTGGGTGAAGACTATGTTCCTTCTCTTGGCCCAGCGGGAGAAGATGGCCTTCTCAGTGATGAAGCGGTGCCCGGCGCGCCGGGCGCGCTCGTGCATCAGGTACATCTTGCACTCGTCCAGCCGGCCCTTCTCAAAGTAGTGGTATGGCACACTCGAGTGGTTCTTCTCCCTGGCAGGAAGGCATGGGGTGGGTGTAGGACTTGGGGGGACACCAGACCACCCCCTGCCTGCCCCTGCAGCCCCCCACGCACCTGCAGTAGCTGTCGCTGACCATGCCGAAGACACGGATCTGCTCACACAGCTCCATGGCCAGGATCATAGTGAACCAGCCCGTGCTCAGGAAGGAGCCGGATTTCATCCTGTGAAGAACCATGGCTGCGCTGGAGCGGGTGGCACAGTGCTGCCAGCCTGGCTGGGCTATGGGTACCCAGTGTGGGGGGAACGGGTGCCACCCCAGGGGAACCGATGGGGCCCCTCAGGAGCCAGAGGTACCTGTTCTTCCCTGTCTCGTTCTGGAAGATGTTGTCACAGTATGTCATCTTCTCCTCAGTCAGGGTGTAGATCTGCAGCTGGGGGTATGTCTGTGTCATCTTCAGCAGTGCCTGGTAGGTTGAGCCCATCTTCTCCCTGTTCAACTTCTTTGCTGGCCCCCAGATGATGTAGAGGGTCTCCTGGGACTGCTGGAAGAAGTAGGGCTGGTTCCTCAGCAGCAACGGGACGCTGGTGTGCGAGACCACGCGGATGGTGTTCCGTGCCCCCACATCCTCCTCGTAGCCGGTGGTGGGGGCGTGGTTCATGCGCAGGACACATTCCTGCTCATCGATGGCCTGTCCCAGGTGAGAGCCCAACATCTGCCCCGAGCTGGACACGACGGCGCAGTGGCGGCACAGCGCTCGCTCCAGCGGCTGTGGGGAGATGCACCGTCAGCTCCCCCTTCCCTCCCGCAGCGGCTGGACACACCACAGACCCTGTCTGCCCTTCCCTAAGGAAGGGGAAACTGAGGCACAGGTGGGTCAAGCTGCCCCAGCGCTGCCCCATCCCCGCGCACCTTCCCGTCGGGAACGCGGCTGTATCCCTGGAAGCTGCGGAGAGTGGATGCCGCGGGGCTGCCCTGCTGCCCCGGGGCCTGGCAGCAGGGCCGCGGGCGGGCGAGGGAGGACAGCAGGATGTACAGCACCGCCACCACCGCTGCGCACACCAGCGTGAGGAAGAGCCGGACCTGGAAGCACAGCGGGGAGGTTTCTCCGGGCCTGGCCACGTGCACCGGCCGGTGGCCCCGCGGCCATGCGGGGGGCAGCCCCTCGGAGGGGGTGCCAGGCCCGGCTCGCTTCCTGCAGCGGCGATGCCCGCACACCCCACGGGCTCCGCGCCGCCCACGGGCTCCGGCAGCTGCGGGCTCAGCCCCCCACCTCGGCATCGCTTTCGGGGCGAGCGGCCGCCGGATGCTGGGGGAGTTGCACCGGCCCCTCGTCCCCCGTCCCTGCGGGTACTCACCAGCGTCTTCATCCTCGAGGGGCTGGCGGGTCACCGGGCAGGGTCCGGGGGTCTCCCGGAGGGTGGGGGCTCGCCCCCTGCATGTGGAGCGGGCTCAGCAGCGGTATCCCCGGGGGGGAAGATCCCCGGGGGAATCCACCTCCACCCTGTCCCCCAACGCCCCTGTGTCCCCCCCCATTCCTCGTGTTGGGACCCCCCTGGGGCTGGAACCCGGACCCCCCCACGCCCCCTCATGCCCCGGATCCCCCCACTTGTCCAGTTCCTCCCGGGCCTCCGCGGGTGCCGCCCCGCCGGGCAGGGCTCTGGGCTGGGACCTCCCGCCGCAGCGGCGCCCCCGGTGCGGGCCCCACTCACCGCGCCGGGACCCCCCACGGACGCCGCCGGCGGGTCCCGCATCCCGGCCGGGCGGGGACCGCGTCTGGGGCTGGCGGGCCGTGGCGGGGCGGAGCCGAGCGGGCACTGCCGGGACCGGCACCGGGACCGCCCCCGACCGCCCCGCCCCGCGGCCCGGCTGCTCCGGGGACGCGCCCACCTTGTACCCCGGTACCGATCCCCGCCTCTCCTTACCGTGTGCCCCCGGACCGCCCCCCCATGTCTCTGCCCCCACTCCTGCTCTGCCCTCTCAGGCTCCACTCCCGCCCGGGGGTCCCTGCAGCCCCCCCGTCCCCAGCTCCTCTCAGCTCCGTGCACCACCGTCTCCCAACCACGCCGGACCCTGGTGAGCCCAGGGAGCACAAGGATCCGGAATAGCTCAGGAGCGGGGCCGAGGCAGGTGACCCCTCGGTGCCCCGGGCCCCATCTGATGGCCCTGGGGGCCCCCTGTCACCTACAGCCCCTCTTGCCACAGTCAAACCACACAGTACCCAAGAGATGTGTCCCTAGAGTGAGCTGCAGCCAGCCCAGGATGGGACACTGGGCTTTAATTTCTCCCACTGCTGATAAAGAAATGTGAGATGTAACCTTGAAACCGCTCCTGACTCTGTCCTGCACAGGCCTGGACTGGGAAGAAGAAAGGACACTGACAGGGACACCACAGGGCTTCTGCACAGGAAGCAGTGCCAGGGGGAGGAGACATGTGGAGCTCTTCAGTCACCACTGAATTCTTCCCCCTTTTGCCTCCCCCTGCCCCAGCCCAAACCCACCCAAGCCCCCCCTGCCAGTGGGTGAGGGGCTGGGAAGGACAATGAGGGGTTCCTCACCAGGAGGAGCAGCAAAGGAGAATGAAGGGATGAGGATTCAGCCTCAGGGAGGCAAGAGCAATAGCCTGGCACAGCCAGGCGGCCTCTGCAAGAGCTGGAAACAAACCTCCAGCCAGAGCCTCACCTGTGAACCACCCAGTGACTCCTGCAGCCAGGTTCAGCCCAAGACCTGTGGCACCCCAGCCACCGGCATCACCCCCTGGCAGGATGGGACACAGGATACGCTGCTCTCCAGAAATAGGAATTTCTGTACATGCAAGAAGGGTCAGAGCACCCCAAACCTGCTCCCAGCACAAGGCTGGGTACACCTGGCCTGGCCTGGGCCAGGTTCTCTCTGGTGTTTCCCTGCCTGACCCCACCAGCAGGGCCTTACCAGCAGGGTGTCGGGCACTGCCAGGGCCATGCAGTTGAACCCATCCTGTGGTATCCCTTGGCACGGGCAGAGGACAGGGACTAAGACCTTGCAGACCTTTATTGAGGGTGATCCTGCTCACTGTGGTCCAGGGGAGCTGCCAGGGGAGGA